TGGCTTCAGTCTTCTGGGGTACTCTTCCCCAAATATTCCTGAAGCCTTCCTTTAGATTCCCCCACCTTCAACTGTGTTCACAGCAGCACTGCCTGGCCCCTGTGTCCCAGCTCCTGAAAGACATTTAGCTCTTAGTTCTTAGATTTGTGGCTGTTCTCCCTGAGGAATCTTGCACAGTTCCTGGGCATTATTATGAACAATGACAATGAATCCCATATGGGATTCCCTAGAATCCTATAAATTCCCAGCTACACCTAGAACCGCCATTCTTCCCTAGGATTCTCACCAACTCCATTGGCATCTCAGCCCAGCGAATGTTTCCTTGGGTCTTTGCACCTCAGCAGTCAAGGAAGAGCTGTGGTGGCAAAGAAGGCTCCCATTTGGTTTTTCTCAACAGGCTCCACTGGCTTTTTGAAAGCAACATCATAAGGTTACCTAGAAGTAAGCACTCTCTTCTCTGACCTTAACATTTATGGCTACAAATAATCGATAGACATGGAAGGAGTGTTCTCTGGCAGCATCCAGCACCAGTTATTATTGGGTAGTTGGGGGCAGGGGAGACCCTCAGCCCATCCATCTTCAGGGCTGGACTTAAGGGGATGTTTGCCAGCCAACCTGCTTTTGGACACAATTGCAGACTCATAGAGTTTAGTGTCTGTGGCTCATTCGGCTCTGTGGGAATGGCAGCATAGCTCTGCAGTTGATACCATGGACTCTAAAATGAGGCCACCTCTGTGAATCCAGGACAAATGACATGACTAGAGTTTGTTTTCTCATCTGTAAATGGGGCTGGAACTAATGTCTACCTTACAGGGCCATGGGGAGGATTAACTAATCTTCTAGGTGTTGAGAATGGCACCTGGCATGAGTGAGTGATATTTGTATTAGCCATTCTCATGTTTTTTCCCTACAGACACTATTTTTTGGTGAGAGATAAAGAGTCTTATGAATAAATATTAAGATTTTCTTAAGAAAAGCAGAAAAGTGGACATCCTCATTAAAAAGAAGAGGAAGCAACCTGTATATACATAAGCATCTGTTTCTCCACTCATACAATGCTAGTCTAATGTGAAATGATAATTTATTTTCTAATCCACTGGGTGGATCACACCACTTAGAACTCAAAATGTGTTTGATAATTCCTGCAGAATTATGTGAAAGGGTGTCGTATGATAAAAATAAGACAGAACAAGTGACCTTTGCATTGTTAGGGTGTTTTTTTATCCACCTTATCCTTTACCAATATTAAATCCTATTCACATAGAAGTAATTCAAATTATTTATGTCTAATAATCTTAAGTCCCAGAATCTGTATTAGAAAGGGGAAAGAAGTTAGAAAAGAAGTCCTTTTTCTTAATAGTCCATCCTAAATTTAGGGCATGTTTTTTAAATTCTTATGTATACTTGTTTTAACTGCTTTGAAAAGTTTTCTGCTCAGGCTTCCCAACTCATACAAGTTCCTTTTGACTTCCCTTTTTATCTCTTTAGAAGACAAAGTACATAAAGCACTCAGCATGATGCCAGAAAGAGAACATTTTCAACATTTAACTTTTCTTAAAGCAAGGGAAGAACAAGAGAGGCTTTGTTATCCAGAAACAAACAAACAAAACACTTTACCTTAAATCATCAAGTAAGACGAGAGTAAGTTGTCAAAGCTCTAGACAGTAAGCTCAATGGCCCACTGAGGCAACTTGGCAGGAGTGGCTGGTTACAGCTTGCAACTGACTCTATGGAGTTACAGGACCTGGGCCCCTTCCCCCACAGACCTGGCCCCCATGTGCTGCTACCTCTTTATAAAGGTGAATATTTCCAAACCAAATTGTAAAGATTTAAATATTTCTGAGAAAAAAGAATGTTGCAATGTAGATTTTTTTCACTTATAATATTTCGACTCACTGTCAGATCATGTATTTTATTTTATTTATTTTTTGAGACAGAGTCTCACTCTGTTGCCCCAGGTAGAGTGCAGTGGTGTCATCACAGCTCACTGCAACCTGCCAAGCACAGTTAATTTTTCTAGAGACCCGGTCTCATTCTTGCTCAGGCTCACCTTGAGCTCAAGCAATCCTCCTGTCTCAGCCTCCCAGAGTGCTAGAATTATAGGCGTGAGCCACCATGCCTGACCCCCGCCCCAACCATTCCTTCTGTTATATATTCCCCACTGTCAATATTAAAGAGTCAACTGTATTTTTAAAACCAGGCTTTTAAGCAAAATATTTTTCAGATAAGCCCGCATCTAGCCCACTGCCTCACCAATAAATAAGTTCTCACTATATCTGCAAAGTTTCCTTTTTCTGTATGCCCTAACCTTGATTTCATTGGGGTGATAGTTGAGGCTATGAACCCCTTAGGTTACCCTTGGCATCACCTTCTTAGGAGGAGGCAAGCCAGAGAGGAAGCTGCTGAGCTATTGATCTCAGAAATTGTGTCTATGAATTAAGCCTAGTCATTGAGTTCAGAGAGATGACAAGGAAGTCTGTATTTCCAAGAGTGAGTATAGCCAGTGATGTCAGATATCTGTCCCACCATCATGCCCCAAGACAGCTGTCCAGTTTCCTTTTGACAGCACTTGAAGAGGTAACTGGAAACTTTTACCCACTGGCAAGTCAAAAAGTGAGATGCAGTGGTGAGTGGACAAAAGAGAATGACTGGGAGGCGGGGCACCCAGTTTCCTAGTCTTGCTATGAATCATGTAGTGAGCAAGTATGAGGGACCAACCCCAGTTTATTTGAGCCTCAGTTTTCTTCATCATCTATGAAAGGTAGTTGGACTACATGAACTCTGGGTTTCCTGCTAGATATAAGACTGGTTCTTGTGTCTTTTGCAGCAACATGGATGGAACTGGAGGCCATTATTTTAAATGAAACAACTCAGACACAGAGAGACATATACCACATGCTCTCACTTATAAGTGCCAGCTAAACTGTGTACACATGGACACAAAGAGTTGAATAATAGATAGTAGAGCCTTGGAAAGGGGGGAGGGTAGGAGGGGGTGAGGGATGAGAAGTTACTTAATGGGTACAATGTGCATTATTTGTGTGATGGATACTCTAAAAGCCCTCACTTCACCACTACATGATCTATCAATGTAACAAAATTAACAGCAGTACCCCATAAATTTATACAAATAAAAAGATGTACTCCAGATAGAGTCTTCAATTTCATGCCAAACAATGCCTTAAACATGAAATATTATAGCGTATCCTTCTTACCATCATCTCATCACATATATGGTCTAGAATATGTGACTATAATAAATGTGTTTTATATGATTGCTAAAAAAAAGACTGTATTCTATAATAATATGATTCCTCCATTTGTTCATTTAAAACTTATTTACTGATAGATCAGACTCTTGCTATGTGCAAATAATTCTTCTAGTCACAGATGAACAAGACATGGTTATTGTGTTATGGAGCTTATAAAAGAGAAGGGTTTATGTGGAAGAGAGAAATGGGGTAGAACAGATGGGTGCAACTGGAACATAGACTATTCCAGTCTTCCTATTCCAAATTGGAATGCCAGCTCTGTGATATACCACAACTCTATTGTGAGGCTTATTCTAATGATTCTGGTCCACGTCAAAGACTCTTGGGTTTGTGTGGGAATCACATACTGAGTGGAGATGGTAGTTTATAAATTCTTTATCCAGTGGTGGCAGTTAGTGTTATAGTTTTTTTTGTTTGTTTGTTTTTTTTGCTGCACCCTTACTTAAGACTAACTTCTAGCAATATTTTGAAGCAGTGCTCAGTTAGTATCCCAAAAGCAATCTAAGCAGTTGAGGTTTCATGATGCCAACTGATGCCACCTCTCATCCTGTTTAAAATAATATAACTCTTTGCTCTGATTGTTTCTATTTCTTGGCTTAAATTCTCATCCTAGTAATTCACATATACTATACAAAAGATAGATTATTAAAACATTGTGATTAATGACTTCAGAAAAGTGAGTTTTGACTAGGAGAAAGGAAAGTGAAGAAAGAAACTTTCTAGGGCCAGAAAACCTCCTTTTCCCAAAGTTCAAGATAAGAAAAAAATCCAACATCCTGTTGGAGATAAGTGGGAAAGAAGTAACAGTTGGAGCCTTGGAAGTCAGAAAGAAATTAATGGAATAACTTGGGTAATGGAGACCCATGGGAAGTTGCCAACTGGTAGGGTGATAGGATGGAAATAGAAATGTGTTGTGATGAATTAGTGGGCTGGCCACACTGGGTAGACACTGAGGAGGAGTTTTTATGATCCCACCTCCTGGCATATGATGAATGAAGGGTGCATCATGACAAGAACTGACCCCCAGAAGATGACACGTGAGTCTCTGGCATTTGGCATGACTCCCAGTGGTCACTGAACACAGTCTCCATCCTGGGCATTCACTTTTTCCTGGGCCTAAAAAAATGTCTGCACATTTGATTTCTGTCTAGGAAGAACTGATAGAGAATAAAGAGTTTGAGAGGGCCTAGTCTGCACATTTTCAAAGTGTGAAAATGAGTGAGCAAAATTATATTTATACTAAACTAGAATTCTTTCCATTCTATAGTATGATGGCCTCTGGAGGCAACTTCCAACAAGAGCATCGTTTTAGATGCTTCCGAGATGACACGTGGGTGAGGACCATAGTCTGTAGGGCAGAGCAAGACACATGCCCATGGCAATCCATTGTGCATCTGAAGTCCAGGGATACCTCAATGGAATAGTTCTCACTTTGTTGGGATGAATGGAATTAAAGTACAGAGTACTTGACAAAGTTGCAGTTAGCTTAGTCTTTGGCCTAGCAGAGAAAAAGGCCTAATGAGACAAGGAATATATACTACAGTCCTTTCAGTTCTTAGCTAGGCTCTGTTAGTGGAGTTTCCCAAAAGATTTAGACATTTCCAATTAGAGATCATTGTAATTTAAATCTCTGCACTAGTTCATACCAAATTACCCAAACCTCCAGTCTAAAACCAATGTGCTGAAGTGGTTTCACAGCGCTGTGTATGTACAGTAATCAACGCTCACAGTGGTAACTCTGTTAGAAGCAAATGTCCTCAGTATCCTGCATGTGGCTTTCAGAGAGAGATTCAGTAAAAGTTTGGGGTTGATGATGAACCCAGAGGACAGGAGTTCCACATTAAGTCATAATCGGCTTTGTGTTGGGAGAGTGGACATCAGTTGGTGAAATCAGGCTCAGAGGAGACAAGAGAGTTTCTTGTAATAACAGCATAGCAACAGATCAGCTACTTTTTACTCAACACAGTGGAACCACAGGGAGGACTTTTCTAACCTCAGAATAGAAGTGTAACCCTGCCCTAATGTCCATCATTGAGAAAATGTCTACAGCGGATTTGATGGAGAATCTCAGGGAAGAACTCACCTGTTTCATCTGCTTGGACTATTTCAACAGCCCAGTGACCACCGAGTGTGGGCACAGCTTTTGTCTGATGTGTCTCCTCAAGAGCTGGGAGGAGCATAACACCCCTTTATCTTGTCCTGAGTGCTGGAGGACCCTGGAGGGCCCGCACTTCCAGCCCAACGAGCGCCTGGGGAGGCTGGCTAGCATCGGCAGACAGCTCAGGTCCCAGGTGCTGCAGGGCGAGGACGAGCAGAGCGTCTGCGGCAGGTCTTCAGCGGCCAGCAAAGCCTTCTCGGAGGAGGAGCAGAGCGGGGGTGCTTTCTCGGTCCAGAATCACGGGGCGACCAGGGCACTTCTCCCCAGCGAGACGGAGGAGCACCACAAAGTAAGCCCGGCTGCTCCCAGGAGTCCCAGAGCACAAGTCAGACGCCATCACTTAACTTTCCTAACGTTCTCTAGCGGCGACAGTCAGCCCTGGCACCTCACCTCGGCCTTGTGTGCAGCCTGCCTTCTCCCTCCGTTGTTGAGTCCTGGTCATCTTGTAGTTATTTGGTCTTTGAGGCCGCTGGTGCTCTGCTCATTTGCCACAGAAAGTGTGTTTCTATTGCAGGAGAAACTCCAGGGAATCCTAAATCTCCTGCGTAAGAAGAAAAAGGAAGTTCAGACGATATTAACCCACGAGAGGGAGAGAGTGATACTGTGTAAGGTCAGTGTCTGTCTTACTCTGGGATCTTGTATATTGATTCTATAGAGGGACTAAAGGGATACGTAGTGAAATATCAGCAAAAAAAAAAAAAAGAGAGAGAAAGAGAGAGAGAGACACATTTTTTCAGTTCCAGTCTTGGAGTGTGGAGGATCCTTGCTTTGGGCTGCCTCCCTCTGCTTATCCACCTGGGAATCTCAAGGCTCAGCTCCAATTCCCCCAGCTCCAGGCCATTTCCCTTTTTTCCTCCTTGTTTGTACCTAGACAACTCTGTGGCCACCTCTATTATGGCTGTGATTAAAATCATTTAAAATACAAGTTATACTCATAGGCATATAGCATAGGATGAAAATCAGTTTGAAAAAGGAATATCTCAAATGCTTTTTGGGGGGAAAAAGAGAATGTAAATTAAAAAGAATAAAGAGAAAGAGATATTAAGGCAAAATAAGTAGTTTGAATTATACCAGGCAAATGCTCATAGTCAGTCACAGATCTGGATTTGAGCTATGTAGCAGCCAAAGCAAAGAACTAAATGTTTAATTAGACATTAGAAGAAATACGTGTATTTGATTCTCCCAATAGACTGTGAGTTCTTACGTGGGAGTATTTATGATGTATATTCCTATTCCTAGTGTGTGATCCAATACCTACTTTCATTAAATACATATTGGTTGAATAAATGAACATACATTTTTCATAATTTTTCTTCTTACTTTATTTTGTTTTACTGGTCACCTCCTGTCATATTTTTGCTTATTCTTGGTTTCTCCCACTAGACTGGCAACCTCCTGGGAACAGAAATCTTGGTTTTGTTTACTATTGTATGTATAGCATACACATCTTTGAAAACATCAAAGTCTCCACCGAGCTAGTCAGAGGAATATATGTATTATGTGTCAGGTTTCAGGAATTATCACAGTGGAACTCTAGGACTTGTAGGATTAAAAATCTACAGACACGGGTGTGTCTTTTACTAACTTTATTATCTTGGTGTGTGTGTGTGTGTGATGGCAGGAAGAGACAAAGACTTTTAAACAGGTCGTTGTGTCGGAATATATGAAAATGCACCAGTTCCTGAAGGAAGAGGAGCAGCTGCAACTCCAGCTACTAGAAAAGGAAGAGAAAGAGAACGTGAGGAAACTGAGGAACAGTGAGACCCAGCTGACCCAGCAGATCCGGAGCCTAAGCAAGATGATCGGACAGATAGAGTCCACATGTCAGAACTCAATTTTAGAATCATTGGAGGTGAGAATAAAATACTTCTGAGAGCACTGGGAAAATGAATGGGAAAAATTATGGTAACCCATAGGAAATGATTTCTTTTTTATTCACCTGGAAAGCTAAGTTCTGGCCCCGAAGTAGCTTTCCCAAAGATTTGACATCCTATATGTTAATAAAGTCTTGAGGAGGAGGAAAAACAGAAGAATGCCCATCCCAAACATGCCTGAGGATGATTTCAGTTTCTTCTGTGCCCACCTCTGCAACCACTGCTTTGTCAAATATTTATTTAAGTTTATTAATGTGATTTTGCTACATGCTGGGCACATTAAATGAAGCTTCAGAAAGACCTGATTAAGATAAGAACGATTATGATATGGACCAGAGGTGGATGTCATGTCCCGAATGGGTTTGTGCAGCAATATTTAACCACGCAACCCTATGGCAGTAAGGCGACTGGCTTGTCAAGTAGCCTAAGTGTGGAATGCAGTGTCCCGTGTCCCCAGTCCCTGTTCCTCACCGTCTTCACTGGCTTCTAGGCAGCTGCATTTTCTGGGGCCTTCTTAAACATAAGCCACATGACCCTATTTCAGCTCCAGTTCTGTTTCATGGGCTGGTTCCATACCATGCTGCTATTTGATTTAGTGCCTTCCAGACACACCGCTCCCAGCTCCCACAGGGTTAGCGAGTCTCAGCTCTCACCAGGCCCTTTCCTTTGTTTATCTCTGAAGCTCCTTCTCCCCTGAGACTGATAGTTTGGCTTCTTTATCAGCAACAGGTTCTTTGGACAAAGGGATGGTGTGAGAAAAAGTAAAGGACAAAGTATTCTCTAGTCGTTGTGAGAAAGAGCTTGTGTTGACCCAAACCCATCCCTAGAAGAACTGGGGGTTGTATTCCACTGCCACTTTGCAAAGGCCTGTGTCCAGAATGGGTTCTGTCTTTGCCAGCCATCAAAGTGCACGCATGCTAACTGTATTTCTTTTATGCCCTAGGAGGTGAGAGGTGCCCTGGAAAGGTAGGGTGTTCCTTTTGTGTTCAGCTGTGCAAGCTGCAGGGGTATGAGGCGGGTGCGAGCGGGTCTGGGAGTGTCTGCCGTGGCTGGGGACGTGAGATGTGCTCTCAGGTTGGAGCAGCCTGCCGTCTGTGCAGAAGACGGAGTGCACGTCTCTGCTTTCTTGCAGGAACGAGCCCCTCCTGCTTCAATCTCCAGAGGCCACTACCACTGAGCTGAGTTTGTGCCGAGTCACCGGGATGAGGAAGATGCTAAGGAAATTCAGCAGTAAGTCAGCCCGACCGTCAGACCTCCAGGGATCCCAGGGCTAACCTCAGGGTGTGTGAATGCAGCTTCTCCCAGCTAGAATACTCACCACCTGATGCTAGGTGCTCAGCTAAGGTGTCCTGAGCCTGCATGATGCACCAGGGATCGCTAGGGCCACAGACCAGCCCTGCGTTTGAGCAGAGAGAAGCGGTGAAGCGTGACTGATGTTTTATCTGGCTTTGTTTTCTGGCTAAGGAATCCTGCTCCCTCCTTCGTTTGTTTTTATTGTTCTGATTTGTCCACTCCTAGCCCTTGCATGTTTGCACACACACATTCCCCCCTCTTGCAGAGGATTCTGCATTTCTAGCTCTGTTTCTGTCAGGATAAACACTGACTTACATTCTAAAATCCCAGTGAGGGACCAACCATTTAGAGAACTGTCCCTTTCGAATGCGCCAGATATTTAGACTGGCTAGCACCAAGAGGTCAGCATTAGTTCTCAGCTTTTATCGTGTTGACAATCTGACCTTCAGAGGAAGGCCTAATGAGCTTTGGACTCAACAGATACTAATAAGTGCCTGCCTGGCCTGGTGCTATGCTGTTAGACTCTGGGCTTTCTTACAATGATAAATAAGCCAGATGTTGCCTTTGCTCTTGTAGAATTGTCAGTAAAATCAAGGAGAAAGACATTGATCATACAGATAATTAGTTATGGTTGGGATTTGGTCTACAAGTACGAAATTGTATGATAGTGGCACCTAATCTTTCTGAACAGTCAGTGAACGTTGGAGGCCCCTTCCATGAGCTCTTTTCGGGAGGGTGGGGGCGCAGGCCTCCCACTGGTTCACAGCGTGCTTCATCAAATGGTCACCAGGTATTGCACTAAACTCATAAGAAGCTGCCTTTGAGCATGACATAATGAGAAACGCTTATTAGAAATTGGTATTCAAACACTCAGTAACTGTGTCATCTTGGTGAAGCTTCCTAACCTTTACGAATCTCCGTTTTCTTTTTTATAAAAGTGGGAGAAAATTAATAATGCTTGCAATGATTAAATGAAATAATGTGTAGAAAAGGCTTGGCCCATAAGGAAGACTTCAGCGAATGCTATAACCTCAGTCATTTATTTGGGTCAACGCTGCCAATATTTCATTCCCACCCAAAGTAGAGGATCAGAGCCAGCCGTGGCTGCTATGAATGCAAGCAACAGAAGGTGGTGTCTCTGTGTGGATAAGCAGCTCTGAGCTCTAACACTGTCTCATGAACAGAACGACTTCCATTCCACTCTCAGAGACTCCCTTCTCACTCTCAGGCAGGCTGGTATTGCTCTCCCCATGACTCTTCCCTCTTTCCCTTTAGAGGTTCACTCTTTTTGTTTTATGGAACAGTGAAAGAAGTGCTTAGAGGCCAGGCATATTGGCATCTATAGTCCTGGCAGGTGTGGGGACCAGATGTCACGTCCCCATGTTCCCTGGTTCTTGGTTTCTAGTACTGAAGAATCATTACTGGTACTGAGTCAACAGAGCAAATGAGCAGACCGAGCAGATGCAAGCAAGCACAGCACCAAAGTTACTAAACCCTAGTACATTCCAGAGAAGGAATGGGCCAGCCCCTGAGAGTGGAGGAGACCCTGAGTTTAACAGGATTTCTCCCTTTATGTTGATTCCTTAATTCTATGCTAAGTGGGGGTGGAATATTCATGATTTTTCTTGGAAAAAGGTGGAGAGTTTCTGGAATGGTGAAATCCTCCCCTTCTCTATCCTTGTATGGCAGTTCCCCGGAAGTTGCCATGGTATTTGTATACTGTCATGGCGCAGGTGGATGTGTTTTGCTATGTTAAAGGGGGTCAGTCACTTGAGGATACTGTCATCTTACTTGTAAGTGTGCTCCAGAGACCCTCATTTGTGGCCTTGGTCATATCTCCACTTTGTGGCTTTTCTGCCTCTTTCAGGTTGATCAGTCCTTGGAGATCCCTTAACACATCATCTGTTCCTTCTTGGAAGCCCCCCTTCTGGTCAATTTGTTCTTCCTAGTATAAAAAGCATCTCCTAATGTTATCTGTTTCCCAATAGAAACAGATAAAGCATCTGTTCCCCTTCCTCCATGCCCCCACCTAAAAGTCTTAGCTACTCAGGAGGCTGAGGCTGGAGGATCCCTTGAGCCCAGGAGTTTGAGGTTGCAGTGAGCTGTGATAATGCCACTGCACTCTAGCCCAGGTGACAGAGTGAGACTCTGTCTCAGAAAAAAAAAAAAGTGCTTAGAGATTCTGTTCTAAACAAAACCATTCCCCTTCTTATTCACTTAAATTTCACTGAAAAAAAAAAAAGGACAAAATACTAAGAATTTAATTCAAATTTCACATATATAAGAGGTTTTTCAAAACGTCAAAGGATTCTTTCTTATCTCTTCTTGCAGCGGAGATAACTCTGGATCCAGCCACGGCCAATGCCTACCTAGTCTTGTCTGAGGATCTGAAAAGCGTGAAATACGGAGGGATCAGACAGCAGTTACCTGACAACCCGGAAAGATTTGACCAGTCTGCAACTGTGCTGGGCGCTCAGACCTTCACCTGTGGGAGACACTACTGGGAGGTGGAAGTGGGAAACAAGACCGAGTGGGAAGTAGGCATCTGCAAGGACTCGGTGAGCAGGAAGGGGAATCTCCCAAAGCCGCCCGGGGACCTCTTCTCACTCATAGGCTTAAAAATTGGAGATGATTATAGTCTTTGGGTCTCATCGCCTTTAAAGGGCCAGCATGTCAGAGAGCCCGTGCATAAGGTCGGTGTGTTCTTAGACTACGAGTCTGGAAACATAGCGTTCTACAACGTGACCGATGAGTCCCTCATCTACAGCTTCCCCCCAGCCTCTTTCCAAGAGGCCCTCAGGCCCATCTTCTCCCCTTGTCTCCCAAACGAAGGGACGAACATAGATCCTCTAACCATCTGCTCTCTGAAAAGCCAAGTCTGAGGGACATGCCTTTGAGCCTTCCCTGAGGATGAGGTCTAAGACTAACAGATAGCTATTAATGAAGATGACTAATACAGTGACGGGATTAACATCAGGTGATCTGAGACACCCCCCACCCCAGAGTTTCCATACACTTGAGCCCTCAGCGAACAGCTAAATTGGATGATCAACTTCAACACCAGTAGAAGAGAGCTGATCATGTCCTGTGTCTTTAACTAAATTCTTTATCTAGACTCCCCCATGTACCTGCCGGTCACTCAAACTATAGGGACAGAACTAGCCCTTATAGTGCTGAATCCCACTGTCATAGGCCAGTTTTATAAATATATGTCACTTTTGCAAGCGTGTGTATTTATTTGACTCTCAGAAACAGTTGGGTTCGAATGTGTCTTTGGCTTACATGCGGGGTTCTGCGTGCTGGGTGGTCCCAGTCCCTTGGGGGCTGAAGCCTGGGTTACCCTTTCCAGGGTGGGTGAGAGGGACTGAGGGCGCAGCCTTCTCTGAAAAGTCACTTTTCTTCCCATCCCATGAGGCCTGGAGTATTTGTACTCAGGAAAGCTTGTATGTCCAGAACGTCACAAATATTTGTGTGAATATCATCATGTCCTTCATGTTACCATAATCATAAGAGGCTGGTACCTTCTGTTAATATGTTAAAAGATGACAGAAGAAAATTTCTATTCTATAAAAGTAGTATGGCAATGGATGCCAAGTGACTTTATTGTGTTTGATGTAGGTTATTTTCTGTACTTTTGCTATTTGCTATGTGCAGAAGGCTTTCAATCCTTGGAAGGCCAGAGCGTACTGTCCTGTCTTAGAATGCCAGGGGTCATGGGGAATGGGGTGCTGTCTGAGTGGAGCTCTTTTGGCTAGTCTCGGACCAACTCCTGGTACAGGTCTGCATGTTCTCAATTCTTAGTGGTTTGTTCCTGCAGGTTAGTGTTAAGTTTTTGTTTTTGTGTTTGTTTGAGACAGAGTCTCACTCTGTCTACCCAGGTAGAGTGCTGTGGCATCAGCCTAGCTCACAGCAACCACAAATTCCTGGGCTCAAGCGATCCTCCTGCCTCAGCCTCCCTGAGTAGCTGGGACTACAGGCACACACCACCATGCTCCGATAATTTTTCTATTTTTAGTAGAGATGGGGTCTTATTGCTTTTGCTCAGGCTGGTCTCTAACTCCCAACCTCAAATGATCCCCCACTTTGGCCTCCCAGAGTGCTAGGATTACAGGGCCTGTTTTTGTTTTTTAAATGGATTTCTACCTTGCTCACATTGCAGAACATCACCAATCACATAGGGTATCCTGGTAGCTTCTCTCAAGTCTCAGAAAAGTCATTGCTCCAAGGCAGACAAGAATTTAACCACCACACGTGACTGCATAATTGCTGCGATTTTTATCACAGATATTTGTCTGCAAATGGGAGACTAGGCTGGAAACAAATTGATAATTCAACCTGTTAATCAGCACACAAAGCCATAAAAGGAAGTGAGGTCAGTGAAGTAACTGCGTTTATTTTAGGGGTCATGCTCATCTTTCTCTTTGATCTAAATCTTTCTCTTTCAACCTTATACTTTTCAGTCTTGTACCATCGAAGGCAGGGGAGCAGATAGGAATTATTCTTAGGATCTAGGAAATGTTCTCTTCTGTTTTTTGTCGTCATCATTTGCATTTTCACCCTGACATCACAGACAATTAGGGTCAGAGATGTGCAAGGGAGGAGAACCTCATGCATCCTCTTCAGGTGATTTGTGTCTTTCTTTGTTACCCATTTGTTATTTTCTCAGATAGACTTTATTTCTTGATTTCTCACCTCATAGGCTAAGAAGTCATAAAAAGCAAACGCCAAACATTTGGAATACATTTTTCTGTTACCAAAAAATCCCACATTTTTGGGGGTAAATGAACATAAAAGTTATACATTTTAATTTAGTGTGTTACATTTAATTGTAGTATAATCCAGGTGATAGATCCCCTCTTTTTTCTTCTTTGTCCCAACTGGGTTGATATTGTCAAGTAAACTAGCTTATTTTTTTCTCTGGCAAAATCATCCTGAGTGTATCTTTGCTGTACCATTGTTTTACACCGAGACTGCCAGTGATTCAGTGTGTGGGAAGGTAGAATCGACAGTATTTTTACTCTTTTGAATTTGCATAAACAACCATGAAAAAGTTGCAAGAAAATTTACACTCGAGTGTCCCCCATGGAACCTGCCACCACCCCTCAAGGTGTTCCCCTCGTCTTCCCCTTTAAATTCTTCTCCAAATTTCTGTCTTCCGCCCTTTCTTGAGTGGACAGTTTCCCGAGGAGACAGCAGTTCACAAGCAGCCTCTTTGTTCAGTGGACATGATCCAAATGGAATCTGGAATATCTGGAATCATAGCCGTTTTCTTCTCTCCCTCTCCAAAATTAGCTGGAAGAAAAGGGATATGTCTAGTCCTGAGGTTGAGGACACCAAAAGTGATCTTCCACATTGGATTGCAGTTTGACTACTTTGTTTGTTGCTTTTCTTTGTCTTAGAATACCTTAAAAATAAAATATTATACATCTCTTGCCCTGAAACCTGGTCCAATACAGCTTCACAATTCTTCAATAAGATATTTAATGTACTCTTCAAATTATTCCCTCTTCCCCCTCCTCTCCCCCCGCCCTCCCCCACAATGATGTAACTTCAACCTATTATGCTTAGAGAGTATAATCTTATCTGACTTTAGATTACTTTACAAGGCCTTTTTACGCTAATTTAACTCAAGAATGTGCCCAATCCACCCTTCTGTATTCTTGGATTTTTTTCCCTGGCGGGTACCTTGAAGAAGCAAAAACAGAATAATAGGTCACAGTAGGAAAATGGAAGAACACTGAAATGTGCAAAGGATAAAATAAAAATTGTGTGTAATCTTACTACCGTGTTTCCCCAAAAATAAGACCTACGCATAAAATAAACCCTGGCAGGCTTTCTAAGCATTTGTGTAATATAAGCCCTACCCCAAAAATAAGACCTAGTGATGGGTGTGGCTACACAGCATATCTGCACAACCCATGCGTTTTGTTGTGGAGCGGTAAAGAAGACGAGCAGGTTACATGGATAAGAGCTGCTCATTTAATGAGAGCTCTATTGCTCGGCATGAGAAATTGGGGTCAATGGTTCTAAAGGAAATAGAGTCAAAAGAAATTCAGGATGGAATTTGGAGTTTGGAGAGTTATGATGATGTTCCAGAAGAAGACGACTTAACTATATTTGAATAAATGTAGATTGTTGTAACATACTTAAAAAAAATAATACATCCCCTGAAAATAAGCCTAGGGTGTCTTCTTGAGGAAAAATAAATATAAGAACCCTGTCTTATTTTCGGGAAACACGGTACATGGAGATAACCAATGCTTGTATTTTGGTGTGTCATCTTTCTAGTCTTTTGTATATATACTTCAAGCAAGAAAAAAATTGATATTACCTTAATATTACCTTCATATCATTACATATCTCTTGAATCTATGAGTTTTTCATCCCTAAACGTATAAGCATGTCTTCCAAGAATTAGTGCATTTTGTTAAATTACGTTTATCATATCCAAAGACTTACATTATAAATGATACCATGATATTATCTAATAAACAGTCCATGTAAAAATTTCTCACTTGTCCTTATAATGTTCTTTATAGCTGATTTTTTTTTACTTTGTAATCCAGAAATAATATAGGATCATGCATTGACTTTAATCATCTTAGAGAATAAAATAATGATTTTTAATGGGAGCAATATTTCATTATATGACTGTCCCTAATTTATGTAATCATCCCCCTACTGTGGAACATTTAGATTTTCTCTTTGTAGCTACTATAAATGACCCTGTGATGAACACAAGTATGCATAAACCTTTGGGTGTGTCTCTAATTATTTCCCAAGTTTATTGCTTATAGGCAGGAAAGCTCCCTGTGGATCCTGCCTCATGTGCTGTGATCACACATCCCCAGCAAAAGTTCTATGTGTCCTGCAAGTAGTCCCAAAGGTCCTACTCACTCACATCCACACCAAAGGGGCAGGCACACTAGCTTTGAGACCAGAGAAAGAACATGTTTTCCCCTGCCCTAGGGTCTTGACAGAAGCATGGCACTTACTTTCCAAAAAAGCTACACTGAGAGGAACTGGGGTAGTGCTTGAGCTTTGAAATAAGACAATCCTTGGTTTGGATGCTTGGCTTCATCACAAGGCAACTGTTTTAATTTTCACAAGTCATTTCAATTATCAGGGACAATTATGTGAGAGCACGTAAAATCAGTTAGTGCACGGGGCATGATGACTTTTTGCTAGTTCTCCTCTCCCCTCTTTGAAAGCTCCATTTTATAACTTTAGAAAGGACGCAGAAAAGCCACAGGGTGCTTGTGTGGACTATGGAGGACACAGGCACCAAAATCTTTGAACTATTTCCAAGCGAGGTGTTACTATTTTAGGGAGAAAAGTGTTAACACAAAATTCAGCTGGAGAAAAAGAAAACCTCTATGGATTATTTTATTTTTCATGAAAGTCCTTCCGAACTTCATGCTTGAGAGCATCCCATTACCCAACTTAAAAACCATCGGCTAATAGAAGCCGTACTAAATAAATAAAAATAAAAACTATTTTAAAGTAGTCATCCTATTTTCCATTCCTTCAGTCCTGGCAATCTCACTCCTTTGCCCTGGGCTCCTAGGACACCATGTGAACTTTGCTAATCCTTAGTTCTTCCAGCGCTTAAAGTGTCGCACACAGAGAAATGGGCTAATGCAGCCTTCTGCAATCGCTGTGCTCAGTCAGTGGTGCTCAAGGTGATTCAAGGTGTCCTGCGACACCAACCCTGTCAGTTGTTGGATGGGACTTGGGTGGCCACCACCAGCTGCAAACACTCCTGTCTGCCTAATGAAAATCATGTTAGATGCACGGCGTGGTGTGGAAAAGGCTGGAAAGCATCGCGTCCTTCTGCCATATTTGTGCAGTGACAGGGAGAGAGGTCACTCGCGGTTGCCCGGATGCCCTGTTAGAGCTTTCTTATTGACAGCGGGCAAATGGAAAAAGGTTTTGTGAAGCTAGGAGCTTATACAAATGAGGAGAATCTTCTCTGAAAAAAGATAATAAAAAAATTACAAATTATAAAATTAGATCCAGGATATTAGACGGTCTCAAAGGAAATGAGGAGCCTGCAATTTAAATTTCACTAACTCCGCAGGACATCTGTTCCCGGATTAGCCTGAGGTGAAGAAGTGCAAAGGCAGTGAAGCCCGACCTTCTGGGTTCCAATGACGGCCCCATCCCCTACTGCCTGTGCTGCACTACCTCCCTGTGCCTCAGTTTCCTTGCCAGGAAAATGTGT